TATTTTAATTTTCACAAAAAAAAAAGCACTTTACCCTTGGTCTTTTTGAAATTATTTAAAAAAAGTGAATAAAAAGGACTGTACTTGAAATGTTAACAGTGATTGATAAATCTGAAGGTAAAAACCCTTTTACAGTTATACAGAACAAACAAAAAAAATTTTAGGAAAATTATTTTTAAAACTGTTTAAAAGGAAATGCTGCCCCCGGGGTTTGACCAAAAAAAACACATTTCGGAAAAACGTTTTTTAAAAAGTTTGACATCTTGTGAAAAAGTTATGGCCTTTTTTTAAAAAACACTTGTTATTTTTTGTTAAAATTAATGGAAAAAAAAAAAAACTTGGTATTTTTATTAAGCTAATAAGATATCCTATAAAATAAAATCATAAAAAACAATTTGTCAATTTTTGAAAAAAATCACGATTTTAAGGAAGTCGGATACCTTAAGAATATGCACTTAAGACAGAGCTAGGGAAAGTTTTGTGAAGAAAATATATTTTTTTGCAGTTTCAATTATTTTCTTAATGATTAGCAATATTATATTAATTGCATAAACTCTTATCTAAAACTTACAGATGCAAGTACAAAACTGTAGAAAAGAGGATAAAGAAAAGATAAAAATGATTTTAAATTTTTTAAGTTTTTTAAAAATTTAAATTTAAATTAATTTAAAGATGGGGGAAGAATAAAAATTTTTTTTAAAAAAATTAACACACAAAAATTAATTTTTATAGTAAATTTTCTTAGGTTTTAAAATTTTTTGAGTATTATGAATATCTTTTGTTTGATGGATTTTTTTACAATAAAAAAAGTATACCCCCAAGAAAATTGTATTAAAAAAAAATTAAAAATAAAAGAAGTATTAAATTGTCAATTCATTTTCCTTAGTTACAAATTATTCATTGTTTGAATTTTTCGAAATTTTAAAAAGCAGCAGTTTGTTTTTAAAATTTTTAAATTTCCCTCCCCCTTTTAATTAATACTCTTCATTTGATTAAATTAAGAAGTCTGCATTTGACTTTTTTTCTCCGTTTTTTTTTATTGGAGGAAAAAAACATTTATCTTTTGGGAAATTTTCATTAAATAATGAAAGCAAAATATTTGTTTGGTTTTTTAGTAACTTCAAATGACTACTTCCTAAAGATCCAAGATTTCTTTTTATGAAGTATAGAGAGGAAATTAGATTTGAGAGTGAGAGTTTTATTTAGCAACAAAATAAAAATATGCCACAGTTTACAAAGATGAAACTAAATGAGAATGTAAAATAAACTCCCACATCAAATAATTCGATGATAAAATGTAAAAGAAAATATGAAAAGATTAAATGAGATTAAATAAAAAAAACTATTTATTTATCTCTTTGATCTTGTTCAATTCAATTTTATGCATAGCATCGCAAAAAATTTAAAAAACCTCTCCCCAATAATGTAACACCTGGGCCCTTTTAAAAAATTTTTTTTTTATATTCCACAAAAAAAATGTTTTTTTTTCTTATAGTTTAAAAAAAAAAAACCCCTTAAATCTTAGTATTAGAATATTTAAAGAGAGACTACATACGAGACCGGGATTTTGAGAAAAAGCGGATAAATAGATAAATTTTTATTATTTAGCGTAAGTTCAGTTAGAATATCCATATAAAACAGTTTTACGAATAGTATTAGAAGAAAAAGTTATTTAGATGCAAAATATTTTGGCAAAAAATCATGAAAGAATAACATTTTTTCAAAACACTCTTATGGAAAAAGCTCCCATAAATAATAATATTTTGCATAATATCCTGAATTGTGATTTTTAAAATATATAATTTAGGAATGGTTTTATTTGCCTTTTATTATACCATAGAGAGTAGAGAAATTTTAACAAAAACCACCCTTCATTATTTAAATTTGATCGAATCAAAATTTAAATTTTTTCTTAAATTATGGTTCAATCCCGGGGGGAAAATTCACCTATATATATAGGCAAAATATTATATTTATTATTGAAGCATTTTTCATAAAAGCAGAATGTTTTGAAAATATTCATTCTTTCTTCATTTTTTGCAAAAAAACAGCATTTAAATAATTTTTCCTTTTAATAATGTTCTTAAAACAATTATGTGTGTGTATTCAAATTCAACTGACATTAAATATAAAAAACCTTTATAGCTTTTTCAAAAACATTTAAAAATAGTCAGTCACCCTTAAAATAATTAGGGGAAAAGCATTTTTCCAAAAAAATTTTGGGCAGTAAGAAATAAATAAGTTAAAATATGTGGACTGTAAAACAATTTTACAAAATACATAAATAAAACATTGCAAAAGATAACTACAGGATAAAATTCTTTAAAGATATATTTCTGTTACCTAGACGGGCTTGTGGTTTCAAAATTATAAATCAAAACCTGATATGATACCTTTTCCAAATTCCTTTTTCATTCGAACAGAAAAATCAACCCCGCAAAATGTAAAAATTTTTTCCTTTTTCTTTCTTTTTAAACTATTTTTAAAAACCGGGGGGGAAAATACTTGATATTAAAAGTTTCTTTTTTCCCCTTTTTCAATCATTTTTGTTTTTTTTTTCGTCGTTGGTCTCGAAAATCCAAGGCTTTTTTTTTCGGGAAAAAAAATGCCCCAAATTAAAATATCAGTATTCATTTTATAAGAAATTTGATATTTTTTTATTGATGTTTATTTGACAAATTCGACAATTTTGTTATTTTTGCTGATAGCGTGCTAAATGGATGCAATACACGACATTATACATATGTGGGTGTATTTTTATTTTGCCCCATATTAATATTTTAAAAAATTTTTTCATTATTCTTAAAAATTTTTTTATACCCTTACATTTATAACATCTTTTTCTGTTCATAAATTTTAAAAAACTTTTTTTTTTATATTTGAAATTTTACATAATGTAAAGTTTCAAATATAACGTGTCTTACTGAATGTATTTACTGTTGAGAAGGAAATATATATATAATTTTATTTTTTAATGAGCAATATTGAGTTTTTTTTTAAAAAAAAACATTGAGAGATAAAGATTTGTTGAAACAAAAGATTATTTTATAAAATTTGTCTTTTTCATTTGGTATCAAAAACTTCATAAGAAATAAAAAAAATATTACAATTAAAGAGAAGTTACTGCAGTAATTAAATTAAATTATTATATTCTAACACACGGGTAATAACCTTTTTAGATGTGTTAATAATTTTGAAAACCATTTTTATTCATGTGTACCTTTATATACGTAATCATTTGAAATCCCATGAATATCAAAAACTTTAAATAGATCCTTTTAAAACCAAGCTTAAAGTTATAACCGTAAGCCTTTTAAAAGGAAGGTTAAACTTGTTATAACCGTTATAGGATTTTTCTTAGGGAATGCGCTAAATATTTGAAAAAAAGCAACTTTTATTTTCCTTTCGTTTTTGGTTTGCTTACTCTTTTTTGTGCACAATTTTTATTATTTCAAGTATGAGTAAAATCTCTAGCTTGGAGAGAAAAGGAAAATATGTAAAATAATTTTTACCAAATTATATCTCTTAATAGGATATAGTTTATTACAATATAAAAACTATTTTCTTAATTGTATAGTTTTTAAAAGAAAGAATAACCAAATTTTAAAGTAAAGCATTTTGTTTTCTGTTCCAAAATGGTCTTTTTTTCAGATACGCGCGTAACATTACTCAAAATTTTAAAAGATTGTCCTTTCTTCATTGTTCATTTTTTTTTTGTTTTATATATTTATTATTTCATATTATATAACATAGATTGAGAAATTTAACATAAACGGTAAAATATTTTATTTAATCTTGTTTACAACTTATTATATCGCATTCATCAAAAATGAAAGGCATTTTTTTCTTGTCTGTGAAATCCATATCTTTTTTCTAAGAAAAAATAACTGAAATGTTTATTGTGACCATGAAATTAGTTGTGTACCTTAAGAACAAATAACCGTGTGATAAGAATAGATTGCGGCTTAATTTCAGATCAAATAAAAAGAGCAACTGCAATGGGAGGCCTGTGAGGTACAGATAAAACTGTCCTTTTAGTAGTAGGAATACCAGATAAGAAAAGTTGTCGTGTTCTCTTTTCTGCCTTACTTTAATTCTTTCTGGTAAATTAAAAAGATTTTTTCGTGCAATGAAAGTTAATAAACATGCTTAGTTTTCGAAACAGAATTTTATTAAAAACAAAAATAAAAGCGTTTAATTATTCATTGAAATTTTATTAAAAACATAATAAAAAAAGTTATTTATATTTTTCATGAATCGTAGAAAATTACTCCTCAGTAAGCTTTTTAATCTACATAAGAATTTAATATTCCTTTCTTTGCTTGGAATATAAATATGGCTCTAAGACAAAACAATTTGATCCCATTTTCCTTTTCTCCCATCTCTCAGATATCCGTTTTTACTGTGTGACGGGGCTTTATCGCGCCTTATCCTCTTGGAGAATCTTTGGGGCCAGAATGGCATTATTTCCATCCAATCCTCTCAAGAAAAAACCGCGATATGCATATTAGTGAATAGATATGTAAGGGAGCTTTTGCATTAGCGAGTTAGTTGAATAGAAGTCGAATAGAAACCGGATAGTAATAGAATGGAAGAATAATAGTAGATGAATAGTAGAAGAATAGAATAAAAGAAGAAACAGAAAGCTGAGGTGCTGATCGCCGTGAGATATTGGTAAGTTATTAATTATAGAAGTGTAATTATAGAACGGACCTTAGTGGGTTAAGAAATCTAAGGCGGCTAAGGATTCTTAGGATAGCTTTTCATAAATATAGTGATTAGGATTCGAGGCGCTATTTACTTAGAATTGATAATTACGTAGCATCACTCCTGATCATATTCCTCTAGTAAGACTTGTGTTGCGTTGATCAATATATATATTCAGACAATAATAAATTATATTTATTATGGGGAATTTGAGTAATCAATCATTTATTCCTACAGATATAGGTCGCGTAGATGAAGAGATGATACCACCGGGCCGTGGGGTATCACAATGGTTCCCAACGTGGGGATCGAACCCACGACCCCGAGATTAAGAGTCTCGTGCTCTACCGACTCGGGGGCCAGCGGCCCGGGAGCATCACAACTGAAAAATTCAATTATATTTCCGAAATTCATAATTTTACTCTTATTTTCTTGTTAACTGATGAGAATTCTAAAAAGAATAATTCATTTAATATCCATACTAATACGCGATTTCAGAAATACCCTTCCAAAATTTTTTATGTTTTTAAATTGTTTTTGGGGGGTTATTTTTTTTTAAAGGTTTATAAAATTTCCCTTTTCCCCCTTTGTTTAATCAGATATGTAAATTAAATTCGAGAAAAGTGTTAAGACATTTCAAAATTGTTATTGTTAAAAAAAATTTTACAGTTTCCTTTATATAACAAAGATATTACTATCTATAATATTTAAGGTTTAGGTGGGGGTGGTAACCATGAATTGCGCCAGAAAAAAAAAAACCCCAGGTTCTATAAAAAATATATATCTTTTTATCAGATTTGGTTCCATTAAAAAAGATTTTTGGGTAAAATTTAAAACGGAATGAATTGTTATTATTGTTTTAATTATTTTCATGTATACAACATAGATAATTTAATAATAATAATGCAGTATTCAAATATGCTTAGCTCTAGCAATAATCATTGCGATGAAATTATAGGAATCAAGCTTGATGCTGCCGTGGTTCGCTGCAATGCAATACTGTTCACTTCTAAGTACGTATAAAAACAGAAGAATCGTAATAAAATTGAAACAGTTGTGGGATATATTTGTCATAAGAAATTACACTAAAAACACAAATATTGCACAAATTAACCATAGTTTGTAAAGAACCTTGAAGGCCACAAGATTATGCATGGAGTTCTCGGGACCGGGTTGGTCACCCCTGGTTTAAAGGAAAAAAATTGCTTGCATAATTGTGGTAGGGATTTTTCTCTCTAAGGTTGAAATCCTTATTATATATTATTCTGAAACTATCAGCAAACACACACCCAAAAAAAGTAAATTACTGGGGGTATGTTGATAAAATTTTTTTTTCCCTTTTAAAAACCCCTTTTAATAAATGTGAAAAAATATTCAGTAATTATTTTCTTTAAATATTTTTCCCGTTTAACAAAATTCGAATATTTCAAATTCTTTGTGAAAATTTCTTATGGCTAATTTTTTTGCTGCGCTTATTTCATATAAACTAAATAAAACTGTTCATTTTTTTTAATAAATCACGTCTTATTTTACTTTCTTTGCTGTACAGCAGAATAAAAAATTATTCTCAATATCCTTTAGAAATATAAGAAGTATTGATTTTACTTTTCTCCTTTTATAACATATTTGGACAAAGTTTTATCAAATTATATACTTTTGCAAGTATATTTTCAAATTTTTTTTATACTATAATGTTGTTCATCCATTCAGATATCACAAAAATTTGAATCTTCTGTAATAATAAACAGTATTTTCAGAAAAAGTGAAGTTTTTAATTCGTCTAAAGTTCAACGCAAATATTAGACTAAAAAGCATACATGAAAATTCAATTCAAACATATTTAAGTTCTCTAAGGAATTTAATTCATGTACTAGTTATAAACAATTTAAAATTCTTTGATTCAGCATAGCTAATAAATATTCTCCTCTTAAAAAAAATAACATGAATAAAATAAGGAGCACAAAAAATCATCTTAAGTTAGTAGAAAAATATATATTCGACTCGAATTAAATTTTAAAAATAAAAATTACATTTAATTTACCAGTGAAATGTTGAAAAACAATCAAAAAATTATTTTACTTACTTGTGAACTCTCAGTAAGAGAATTGACCCGAACTGGCATTTTTGCTATAGTTCCTAGAGTTAGTTCGTCTTTTTCGTCTTGTAACTGCTTATTGACTTCTCTGAAAACAAAATCTATAAAGACACTTATTTTTTTAAAGAAATTACTAATTAAAAGTTTTCTATAAATATATTTACAAAGAAATAAGGAAACAACATGCTATAAAATACACTGAATTCCTCTATATTTATTTCAGTCGGTCTGAATAATTACATTTTAAAGTTATTTTATATCTTAGAAGCTATTCATTCAACAATTGGCACAAAAAAGTTTCTAGTTAAGGAAAAAATTTCTGATGTCTTTATAAAAAAAAAAAAATGCTGTCTACTTTCACAGACTTTGAGATTATTTTTAAAGGCAAAAAACAGCAGCAAAAAAATTTTCTATTTTTATCCCGCATAATTCAGAGCTCTGAAGTTTTTTTACTGTTTGTTTTAAATTAAAATGCAAATGGGAAATGTTCAAAAACTTTTTTAAAGAATTCCCTTGACACTCTTATTACATTTAAGTATTCTTTTTTATACACGGATAGTAATAAATTTTAAATTCTTCAATGTGAATTTTCAAAAAGTCCATAAGTTAATCACTTTAAAAGTTCACAATAGGGTCTTACTTAAAATTTTTAGTTTATATTTGCTAACATGAATAATACTGGACTCTGCTAACTAGTATTGGATAAATAATAAATGAGTCGCAAGATAAGTGAATAGTTAAAGAGCTTTTCCATTATCCTCATTACTTATTTAACTCCAATAACCATAGAAAACATGTATTATAATGTTTTCTAATCTCATCGTTATGGTATCAGTTTCTTATTTTGAATAAGGAAGATTGATTATAAAAAATTTTTACTTTTAAACATAAATAATTAGAGGAGAAACAAATTATATGTCACTTTCTATTTAGTGAATTTTATTTTAAGAATATATCTAATAAGGATTTTTTTCAATGAGTAAAATACACTTTGCAGAGATATATAAGTTAATATCAGTGTGTCTTATTTCTATCAGACAAAAAAGTTGTCGTTAACATATAAGTTCATTTTTAAATTTCAAAGATAGACAGGTATTTAGTAAAATTTTAAAAAAGACCTAAAAAGGATCTTGGAGTAAAAATTAAAACTAGAAAAAATAATCATTAGTTAATATAAAAGGTCTGAAGTAATTTACTATTTGGAATGGTTAAAATTTATTCACTTTAAAAAAAATGTTCATAGTATTAAAAGAAAATCATTTGTAACAGGCATGAAAGATTTTTTAAAATAGTTTTAGAGGAAATACATAGCCCATTTGAAAACCCATAAGAATTAAATTTGAGTCCTGGGTTCTTTTAAAAAATACTTAAATAGTCCTAAAAGAGGAAATCAGTTAAACATAAAGCATTTTAAAAAAGTAATCAATGCATATCTACTTCTACGAAGAAAATATTATTAAAAAAATCGTTAAAGATAAAATAATTATGGAGTTCAATAATCAATAATTTGTTTCTGTATTTTATATGTTTAATTAATGCTCTAAATATTCATCCGTCGAATGCTTGCAATCATTCATCAAGGCGCTAACCAACACATCTGTAATGGTAAGAAATAAAAGCAAAAAAACATCTTTAAAGGATATTTCTAACAAATATTGAAAAGAAAATAATAATAATGTTAAAAATTTTATTCGAATATTAAATATACGCCAAGTGAACTTACTTTAAATGATGCAGTTCTAAAACTAGATTTTCTCGTTCAAGTGCTATTCCTTCGGATACTTTGATGGCAGCTCTAGTAAAATGGGGGAAATGCAGAGTAAATGTGGATAGAGATAAGCGGAGATGAATAAGTATAAAAAAGAAACATCACTAAAGGACAGTAAATTTTTTTTTCTATAACATTACTTTCGGTATTGTACTGGAATAAAAAAAGTAGCTTGGTTATATGCTCATAGGATAAATGGTAATTGTTTGGGGTTACAGGTTATCACAGGTTAATATACATAATACTCTTGAACGTATTAATAATATAAACTGTTTATTATGTTCACGAAACCTTTTGTTCAATTTAATTAGTTTCATTTTGTTACAATTACCGCTTGTCGGTGAATGCGTCAACTCACGTGTGTTGATGTCACTTCGAACACACCAACACCTCTGAAACTTGCCACATTTTCTTGTTCCAGCCATCTATACCACAGACATTGTACCGTAGACACGTCTTGTTGGGTTAGTTGAGTTATGACGCATCGAACAAATTCCCCTTCTCAATCCCATAAACATACCCCTCGTAAAATTACCTGTCTGCTATAATTTCCTTCCTTAGTAAGGTCCCTGCATTTGCTGCTAATTCACGTGCACTCTAAAGTAAGAATAAAAACTTCCATACCCTGGTAGAAATAACGACACGGATATTTTGCCCATTTTTCAGATTCCTTCCATTTTATAATATTCAATGAATGTCGATGAATTAAGCATTTCACATCCTTTTCATACTCCTCGTCTCAGTCTGCGATTCTCACTCTCTGCTCCTAACGCAATAGCGACTCTAGGGGTGCAGGAGGTGAGAAAAAAAATTCATGAACTCACCAATGCTGATTAGACTATTGTCGTTCAATCGATCCCTAGCCATTGTTGCATATCAAGCAAAGAAAAGGTGGACTCTCTGGCAAAGCATGGCTGCAATCTTCCACAGTCTTCTGGTGGAATGTCATGTAGCCAGTCTTTTTCAAGTATCTCCAGATGATCCGTGAGAAAATACATTCACCGAATTCAAGAGGATGATGCTAGGGGAAAGATCTGGGAGACTATACAAATCTTCTCCGCTATTTTCAACACGCTTTTATAAGTTTCACTTGTATTTAACAGAAAATTGAACTCGATTTATACCCACTTTAAAAGGTCAGATTAATTCGAAATTTTGCACACTTATCAAGGACCGATGACAATATAATAATTTCATAATTTTGTTCCATTATCCTGAACAGGATAATCAGGAGACAGGATAATCCAGATTTGGCGACTAATTCCTTAAACATTTCCAGATTTGGTGACTAATTCATTATACATTTCCAGATTTGGCGAATAATTCCAGATTTGATGACTAAGAGATTAAGAGTAACCCTAAAAGCGAAAACTTATTTTTACGTCAGCAATTTCTTATAATATAAGCAATTGTCCAGTCTCTTTCTGAAAACGAAAACGAAAAAAAAGACTCGTGCATGTGAAAAAAAACAATTTGTTCTAATTCAGGGATGGGCAAATTTTTCGGTCGC